CCCCATTTTAAAGATTCCCGCTTTTAAAGATTCCTCATTTTAAAGATTCCCCGTTCCCCGTTCCCCATTCCTATTCATCCATTCCCCGTTCCTCGTTTTAAAGATAGCCCCTCAAAGATGTCAACAATCACATCAATACAATGTTTACAGCGTCCCTCGCTTCGCTCGCTTCGTTCGCTTCGTTCGGGCTCAACGGGAGCCTGTTGGAAGGTTATCTTGTTTCCAACCGAGCAGAACTTGAAGAGAAAGGAGTCTCTTTCTCGCAGGGTACAACTGTCCCGAAGATAACGAAGAATTTGATTGCGTGTAGACGTTTCGCATGACAAAGCACCTTACAGCAGCAGAGCAGACTGGTTCTCTCTCGTCTCTCACCAAACAGAAATTATAAAAGAAGCGAAGCGCTGTCTTGCGGGCTAATTATCAACGCCGCGTTAGATCGAATGTATATCGAGCCATTTGTCTCAACTTCTGTCCATCGTGCGTAGCCCTCGATATAACCCAGAGGGAAACATGACCTCGTTTGCCTTAACCGCCGGAGCACATTATGTTAAAAGCTTAAATTTGTTTATTGCAAAATCTGGAGAAAGAATGAAGAATTTTGAGATCTTACGACATCATATACCACCACTGATTCAGACTGCGAGTCTTTCTTGGGGTCAACGACGCTCGAGGTTTAACATCTTAAGTGTTGGAAGTGGAACGGGAGAGATGGATATGGAAATCATGAAAATTATTGAGAAAGAATTGCAGAAAAGTGATCAAGGTCGCCACATGAAGATTTTTAACCGAGCTGTCGAGCCGAATGGATATTCCTGTGGTCTTTACAAAGCTATCATTGAAAACTTGCCAAGCCCGCTGAACGATGAACTGGCAGAGTTCGAAATTTGCCAGCAGAAATTTCAAGAGTACAAAGAAAGACAGCAGCGTCAGGAGACCGGCTCAGTGAAGTTTGACATGGTACATTTGATCCACAGTATCTATTATGTTGATATCGAACAGACCTTGATTCATTGCTTTGAGAAAGAACTCAGCGAGCAGGGAGTGTTCGTTTGTGTCATAGGTTGTCGAAATCTAAGGTACTGGGTTTCTCTGAAGCAAAGCAAGCGATGGCACGGAAAAGACTCGGATAGCGACAACTACGAAACACAGGAGAAGATTATCAAGATTGCAAACGAGAGAGGCTGGAAGCATGAAATATACAGCCAGGANATATGATAACGGGATAAGTCACCCTGCCTTGTTTCTTTATTTTACTACCTGAAGCTAAGCAAGTATTTAAAAGAATACTAACGAATTTGTGACAAATATAATTTTGGTGAACACCAAAAATCCATAGCTGAAGGCTTCGTTATGAGGAGTTTAGCACGATCATAAAAGGCACTTAACAATACCACGCTTCACTGACTGAGGATGGTTTGAGTCGTATGCTAGGTCTTGGTCAGTGTGTGTTAGTTTCCTGTATACAGCGGTAATGAGAAGACCGTCTGCGTCCCTTGTAAAGCATGTAACTGACGTGTCGATCGAGAAAGGGAATGGTGTTATCTCTCGATTTCCATGGTAAAACGAATGGCTGGTTGTTGAATGTTTAGCTGTTGTAGAAAGCCGTCGACATTGTTTCGATCTAAGATTGTAAAATCGTCATCTTCATATCGCTTCCAGATCTTAGGTTTGCAGTTCGCAGTAATAATCGCCAGTTCCTCAAATTCTTCCATGCAAAGGTTAGCTATTACGGCCGAGACAGGGCTCCCCGTGGCTGCTCCGTCTTGCTGTTCATAAATCGATCCATTATCTTGGAAATACGCGGATCTCAAAACGAAATCTAAGAAGTCGGCAATTTGTGTAGGACTAAGGTTCGTGCGGTCGGAAAGACCGGGATCATTTTCTAGTTTTCGTAATGCGACTTGTGCGGCACCCTCGATTGGCACATTAGTAAATAGTGATTCTACGCCAAAAGATACCATTCTTGTTTTCTTTCGTGGTTGACATCTGGTGGTCACGAAGTGAGTAGAGTAGTAACTGTGTAGTCTGATCTGCCTGTCAAAGGAGACAGGATATCAGCTAAGTGAGCTGACAAGTCGTAATAAGCGAAGGTGTTAACGCGTCTGATCTCACGGGACACGCTATATGGAATCGAATACAGCCTCGTTTTCCGCCTGGGGATGGGCACTCCCTTATAACAAGTTCGGGAATGCTGTCATAAAATTTGAATTAATCCCCTTAAAGAGACTGATCAGGGCGTTACTCTTGCTTAATGTGACCTCTAAAAGATACCAGTTAAAACGAAATAGGCTCGATTACGAGCTGCTGTTCAGGAAACGATCCGGCGCTAGTAGACCAGACTCGAGAGAGGGGCATGAGAGTGTGTTTTTTTATAGTGTTATTTCTTCGAGTGTACCCTGAAAGATACTTTGATAGCTGAAAATGAAGGCGTTTCCACCTGAACACCCTACATGAAATGAGACCCGAAAACTTTGATTTATACACCCCCAAGCGAGACGACGAAGATCCCCGACCTCCCCGCCCAGGGGATTTTCGCCGCTCTCTCCTCTACGGCTCCCATAGGTCCTCTAACATGCCAAAGAACTCTTGAGTGCAGCAGTGCGGGCTCATCTGTTGAACAACGGATGGTATACGGGCCTAAGATATTGTCTGTGTGTCATGTATGGGAACACAAATTATACCGAAACTCTCCAGTACAATATGTGTCCTCATACACACGACCTAGGGTACATGTAAGGACCTCTAAGACTCGTCTCGTCCTTCTGCTCCAAATCAATGAATTGTTAAAAAGATATCATGTACATGCATCCCTTCGTTTGTCCCGGACTCGCTAGAGCATTATATTACATGCCAACAGTTAAGAGGTTTATCACGCGAAATGCAAATCAAGCAAGAATTAAAGAAACGAGACTATTTATCATAAATTATTGTTTTCTCAGTTATTCTAGTCTCTTAGGAAATCTTAATTTACATATTCGCGAGCCATGAGGGTCTGGTCTGCCATTTTCATTCACTTGGACTTGCCAGCAAACGTTAACAGCAAACATCGAAACGTCGTCTTTAAACAAAATATTTTTTCGAAATATTTTTAGCAAATCTCTCTTCCTCCTCCTCCTCCTCCTCCGCCATGCGGAAAGCTGTTACAATTAACACTGGCTATCCGAAAGCAAATCGCTTCACTTGTAATCCGCAATTTACACTACCAGCGCACTTCGGTCAGATCAAACAAAGCCACACGGTGTTAGTTTTTCTCTTTCTATTGCTCTTGTTTTTTCGTCTTTCTCTTATTTTGTCTTTGCTTGTACTTTTTTTACTTTGCATTTTGTGAGACACAAGGAAAAACATCTAAAATGTAAGCGAATTTGGAAGTTATTGAATTGTTTTTGTTTTCCGCGCTCAGGCTGACGTAAGAAACCGTGAAATTTCACCTCCTTAGCAACGCGCGCGAGCGCGCGCATAAATCGGTTAACGGGCTTAAAATGTTAAAACGCGATCGTTGTTGACACCATGGAAGACTCTGAATGGTCCTGAATCAGTGGCGGTACATAATCTCGTCATATATAAAATTCTTCAGAGTTTGCCGTGAAGACGTTTAAACTTCTTACATAATGTGCTCCGGCGGTTAACGCAAACAGCGACATTTTATCCAGTTGGGTTGTATCGGAAACTATAGATCGAGAGACAGCAGAGAGAGACGGTCAGAGAGAGCTAGTGGGAAAGACTTGCGCGCAAACTCCATAAGTGGCACGCAATGCTTGCAGAAGCGAAGACGTTTTTAAAACATAGGCACGCAAAGCGTGCAGGAGTTTTGTTTTGTTTTGTTTTTTTTTTTGCAAATTAGAAGCCTCTAGAAGTTTGGCATTAAGTTAAGTCATAACTCGACTTAACAGTAATGATCAGGCTAATTCGGCAAGTTTCTCTGGTTACGATGCAGAGCAAACAACAAACATGCAACATTATTCTTTCACGCATACTTCTTGCATGCGATCCTCACTTAGAGAGTAACGTGACAAAGCAAAGTCAAACAATATACACGATTACTCGATAGTTTTCGCCTGGAATTTTCGGTAGTACCAAGATCATACCAAGATCCTCGGTGCACCCTCAAGTACAACGAAGATTCCAATCGACAGCTCACACACGCGTTTGCTTTTACTTCCGGTGGGTCAAGGGAAACAAAAAAGACGATACACAAGAGCAGCGGTTTTTTGTTTTTATAACCCTTCATGTTACTGGCAGCGACTAGTAGCCTTGTGTTAGCCGTGAGGATTTACTGTATCACCGGAGACACAGGCGTAGTTAGTTTTAAAAGAAGAGACATGTGTTCCTTCGTCTCGGACTCGTCAGAGCATTATGTCAACAGTTTAGAGGTTTATAACGCAAAATGCGGACAACGTAGAAAGATCATCGAGCTGTTACAAGATCACCTGCCAGAATTGATTCAAAGGACTGCTGAAAGGACTCTACACAAACAACGACCCGAGTGTTTCGGATCTGGATCTGGCAAGACAGATTTGGAAGCCTTGAAATTAATCAAGCGAGAATTACATAAAAGACAACACGGCTCTCGAACCAAGCTTCTCAACCGAGCTCTTGAACCAAATGAATATTCATGTCGTCTCTACGAAGCTGCAATTGAAAACCTGCCAACACCACTGGACGATCACCTGACAGAGATCGAAATTTGCCAGCAAACCTTTCAAGAGTACGTGGAAGGCCAAAAAGAACCAATCAAGAAGTTTCACATCGTTCATTTTCTACACAGTCTCTACTATATCGACTTCGAACTGGCTTTGACTCATTGTTTTGAGAACGAACTTTGTGGCGGTGGAGCTGTGGTATGTGTCATAGATGGAAAGGATCTACTGTATTGCATTTCCAAGCTAAGGAAAAGACGTCAGGGTATAGTCAGCGAGAGCTACGAGCGAAGTGAGAAGATCATCAAGATTGCTAACGACAAGGGCTGGAAGCATGAAATATACAGCCAGGAGTATTCCACTGATGTTACCGATGTGTTTGATGAGAAATCAACCGAAGGAAATCTGCTTCTCGACTTCTTTACACACACTTTGAATTTTCGTGAGACGGCGGACAAACAACTGCTAGAAGATTTACTTGCACTGATTAAAGACAACACTACTGTCAAGGATGGAAAACTTTTGGGAGACAAAAGTGAATCGCTTATTCTTTTGTATAAATGACCCTCTTGACTTTCGAAGGACAGTTGGTCATCCCGGTGCACTCCCAAATAAAAAGGACAGGGGTGTTCGTCGGAAATTTTGAAAAGAATCCCTAAGAGTTATCAAGATCCTGTTTTGTGAGCAAGGTGAAATTTCTTTCAACCCTTGGAGGTACAATTCGAAAACAACAACTGACACTTTCAAAATTTGTAATTGTGATTTAGACAATTGCTTTGAACACCTACTAGTAAAGTTGATTGTCCACTATCTCGTCATATTTTTTTCGGCTCAATACCCTTAAAGGTATTGTGAAAGCTCCTGCTGTGGACCTTTTGAGGCTGAACAGCCTAAGATCGAGGTACCAAAACCTGCTTTTTAACCCCTAAGCACCTCTGTCTTTGTTATAAGGGGATTCCCCCCTGGGCTATTAACACAGTCAAACCCGTAAGGGACCACCCAAAATGTCAAGCCTAGGTGGTCAGTTACGAGAGCTTAGACCATAATGGGTAAAAATTTTTCCTCACTAGAACATGGTAACTGCAGAGTCTTACCCAATGTACCAATGCCAATGCAATGTTTTATTCATGTATAAGTCAAGTTCGAGAAAAAATCCAAGTCTTCCCATTGAGAAATTTCCGTTTCTTGTACTAGCCAGGAATACGATAGTGTTACAACACCTTATTATCCATTTTTCACTCCATGATCTGTCAAGTGATCGCTTACAGGAGGTTAAAAACAAAGGAAAATTTCAAACTTTTAGTTCTAAAAATGGTTGTGCTTGCTTACAAGAGGTTCCAAATATAGTGATTTGACTTGGAAACTTTTGGTATTTTGGAAAACTGGTCACTGAGGAGAGGTGGTTGCTTATGAGCGGTGGTCGCAACCGAAGGTTCAACTGTATTTCTTGACTCATCATATTCTGTATGGAACCCAAAGGGGAGGGGGCATTTGGGGGCATGCATTCAACATTACATAATGAAAAGGAGGTGGAATTCATATTTTGAAGTTAGGACTGAAAACATGTTAGGACACAAGAAAGAAAGAAGAAAAAAAAAA